GCTTGAACCTGGCGGCTATCAAATTATTGGTTACAAAGGCTGCAATCAACAGCGGTTATCAGCGTTCTGGGACACAAACTTTCTCGTCATTCGTCAAATCGCTGTCTTCCGACGCATTCGGATCTACCCCTTGGCAAATATCACTATTGAAGAACTATAAAAGGCTGGTAGCGTTTGACCCAATTTTCAAAGGTGCTAGTTTCCAGGCACGAGCAAGTGCCATTGATGTAGCGCAAGCCGTTCGGCTTGTCGCGCAGGGCGGACAATACCCATGGCTGCTAGATCTTTACCGCTTGGTCTTTGGGTTCCATACAGACGAGGCTATCAACCGGAAGGAGATCGTACTTCAAGTATGATCCTATCGATTCATTAGTGTCTTCCCCGCAAACTCTTCGATGCTGACCGCTAGGGGCATGGGTTGCACTCGTGGTTCTACTTGATATCACACCAACTGTAAGTTGGGCTCCTGTCCACTCTCATCTGTGTACGAGCAAGCAAGGCCCCACTAGCCCTGCCGTCAGAATCTTAACTTGACGGTATGTCACGCGCAACTCTCGAGTCACACTGCGTGCTTAATTCCTGCCTCGATAGATGGATGGAAGAAAAGCTTCCTCTAGATTCAGACTGCACTATGCCGTGTGCAAGTAAATATATATAGTAGAGGTCGTTGGTTCATTCGACGCCGTGCATATCGTTCTGGTCCCGTATGGAATATTCTACATTCGCATACTTCCTATATCGATAAGTAGTGTAGCTTGATGACAATAATCCCTAGCATGTTTAGATCCGTATGGCTACGGTTAAAGATGGTCCTGGTGATAAACTATATGAGCTCTTGCACGGTGGAAGGATCAAAGAGGTAAATGGTATGTATATGCTATTCCGCGCCTTATGCGCACTGACGCCAGTGATAGCATGTCCCCAAAACATTGATTCTGAATAAGTTCAGAGAATTGCATATATTTAATACATCTGTTTGGCCTCTCGCAGGGAGGTGATAGATTATAACGACAAAACATCTACGAGTGCTTGCCTTTCATTATAGAAGCTAGGGCCGATCTTGACTTCCTGATGACTGTTCCCTCCTACACAGCATTTGCGATAGCATAAAGTGGCTCACATCCTCATCTGTCCAGTAGCTCAGGTGGCTGGCAATACTTGCAATCATAGATATATCGAATGCACCCCTAGACGGTTAGCGCTTGTCATTATTGAAAGACCATAATCGACTTGGGACGCCGAACTTACTCCTGTATGCTATAGTCAACACGCCCGTTGGCATTCAGGGCCCTTACCTTGGCATCCTCTAGCAGAATCCTTTTCGAGCCACTGTCTGCTCCAGGGGCTCCGCTAGCATGTTCTCTGGCTTGTAAATTCTGCTTCGCTGAGATCCTGTCCCGATGGATTTTTCCGTAGAGCGTTTCCAAATCAGAGTGAAGCAGTGTGGGTCGTCGACTTTTGTCTTCACTCAGCGCAGAGGCACCCGTGACCGATGGTAGATTCTGAGGGTCTTGAGTATTCGCATTGGACGATGAGCGGGTTGAGGCATCCTCGGGACTCAGACCGAGGCTACGGTTAAGAAGACTGCTGGCGACACCTGACGTGAAATTTGTCCAGAGAGATCCCACACTTTGGCCGACACGACTACCGATCATGGAAAGACTCTGACCGGATGTTGCCCAGAGACTTTTCTTTACCGACGGTAAAGGCTGCGGCTTGAGCGATGACAGTGCTGGTGAGATCAAAGGCTCTAAACGATAACTCACGGGGTCAGAGGGATGGAAAATATTGTACAGCTGCCCACATTTAGGTGAAGAGACAGATAACTCATTCTGAGCGACCACGGTGCTAGTCTGGTGTGAAGCAAAAGACTTTGTTTGGGGAGTAGGCTGCAATGGTGTTTCCAATGCGTAGTTCTCTGGGAAGGACGGTACTTCTGCTAGTCCCTCGTCTCGAACCCGCCGCGCAGCAATAGTCTTCCCTTTGAGCATCTGAAATAATGCGACAGGGGAGCCTAGACAGAAGAATTCCTGGCATTGAAATTCTAAAGAAGAATCTCGACAACATTGTGGCTGTCTGGCATTGACCGAGGGGGTTGCATGATGGCTATCATGGGGTTCATGGCAGAGTATATCAAAGAGGATTGCACTACCAAGAGAATGGCCGCAAAGACTCACTGAGCCTTTGAAGGAAGGATTTCGCTCCTTGAAAAGCCTCAGGATTCTATTGCACTCCCCTTTCACTATGTGAGATATCTGTTCACAATACGCACTCTGATAAAGCAGAACATCCATAGCCAGGTCGGATATGAGATTCCGAACAGCAGGCACGTTGTCGAGTGTAATATCTGATAGAGTAGGGTATGCTGGTATTGCATCTTCGGGAGCCTCCGCATCCGCTAAGTCGAGTTCCTTCCGACTTTGCTCCATTCGCTGATAGGGAAAATCGAGCATATGTCTCCAACAACTATGACAAATACTGGATCAGTACGTGGATTCCATAAGAACACAAGCCATTGAGAGGCTCGGCCAAGGCTAGATATGAAGGGTGGTATCGCAATGTGGAGGGGCCAAATAGACTAACACGGGTAGGACCTGGATGCGGCAGTTTTCATGCTTATCAGCGAATTGCGAGTTGAAGGCTTGAAGATCGGGTGATGCTCGATAAACACTTTTCATCGTTTTGCGTAAAACATTGACATCGTGTATGAAATTTACACTTTCTAGGCGCAAGCCCAGGCGCTGTCCAATCCCATGAGTGACTAGGACCAAGTGATCTATCTCCCGATCTCGATCTTCATTGGGGTCTTTTGATGCCTCCATCTCCTTCTGATCTTGAGTACGCACTTGCTCTTCAAGCTCGGCCAATTCCGAGCGACCATCTGCCCCATTACACGGCTCTTTGGTTGCAGACCCTGTTGTTGTATTCGTTAGACTGGGGTTGTCTGGTCCAGTCAATTCGGTCAAACCCAACAACTTGGATTCTACTTCGAGCTGCCCTGGTAGTTTGGTGCGACGCTTGAGCCCATCGTGTGTCTGCTTTGGTGGAGTGCCACATTTTGATGAATCTGTGGGCTTCTTCGCTTCATTGAAGCCACGTATAAGTTTTGTGCCTGCGACAGCACCCAGCTTTTGGTATACAGTAGTGCTGACCCTGGACATAAAGTCATCACTTGTCAGCAGCGCAGTGGAAGCATCTTGATATGTGACTATATTGCTCATATAAGCGCCGAACAAACGATAATCCCTTGGTTCATTACTGGTTCCGGAAGTACCACGGGGGCTAGAATCTGTTTGACAAAATGAGCGATTCAGTCTGTTGACTTGCGCGTTCTTGACTTACCTTGGTGACTAAGTGTTGTCGACGAAGCAGTTGATGGAGAGCGACCGGTGTCCGAGCATCGCCAGGGTTTTAACTTCAGATATCCCTCCTCAAGCTGTGTTGCTAAGTTCTCTTCGCATGGCTTCATAGTCGATCCTTCCTGAAAGAACCATGTCCCTCGGCGCACTTCATATATGGGGCCTACCCAGTACGTTGGCGCCAGCTCCCTATTTTCCACGTTCACATCGAATAAAAAGTCTTCATTCACGGAAACCTTAGTTGGAAAGCGTGAACAGCCAGGGTCTGCTTGTTCGTGGCTAAAGTTCTCATTTTCAACCTCGATGTCCGATATTCTTTGGAAAGCTTCTTCAATGGCATGAGAGTCCCTAATTGAGAATTGCACAAATTTCTTGGGGGGTGGCAGCTTGAGATCTTCTTTGTTCCGAGCACTGGTAGACAGCTCCGGCTTCCTTTTCGGAGAGTCCACTGCATAAAACCACTTGACACTCAAGGGCGGGCAGTCTTCAGGGTAACGGTGTAAGCTGAGTCTGTACCTATGCGTGACAGCATGGTCTTGTCCTTGTGATTGCTTCAGTATATTCTGGATATCGTGTTGCTTGTCTGTAGTAGACAAGGGTGTCGAGCTTTGGGGGCTACTCCAAGGCGAAATTGCCCCTAGGAAAGGACCCCGTTGGCTTTCTTTTGGCATGAAGCTCAGGAGAGCTCGTGGTCTCGTGGCAAAAGCCAATGCGCCTACGTCAGATGAAATGATAAAAAGACAGTATCAGACGAGGCTGGAAGATCTCAGAGGCCTAGGTGCTTGTATTAAATCGCAGAGGGTGCTCGGAATCGCAAATATTCATCCGTGCTTTCTGGCCTTGTTGGCAGTTTAACTAAGGCTTTGTGGATCAGCCGCCCAAAAGCTTCGTAGCTGACCACCTCCTCGTACACAGGGATAAATTATGTCAATTTGCAGGTGCTTACGATTTGGCGGGTGAATGACTAGTCACATATGCCACATAACTTATTGTTTGTCAATCACTTATCAGTCATCAAGGATGATGGTTTATCTAGTGAACAAAAATGGAGCTCAGTCGGTAATTAAGACGGCGACATCATCAGGCATTAGGCAGCAGCAGCCGGCATCCGGCAGCAGCCGCTTACACGTTCTACGTCATTGACCAGATACTATATGCACAGATTAATGTTTATGTATGTCTAGGGACATACCGTGGTTATATCTATCTTTTTGTGAATAGTAATACATTGGTCAGGTAAATTATTTATAATGACTACTAGGTAGCCAACATGTAGGCCAGTTACACACGCGGTTCCAATCTGACCGATTCTAAGAGTTCTTCTGTGTAATTCCCGGTAACCTAACTTAGTGAGCTATGCCAGTCATCCCATCCTAACCCCGCCTTGTCATTGGGTTCCTACACTAGTGCAGTTCTACCTCGAGGACCAGACGGCAACCAACCCCACGGAGTCTCCTTCGTTCATCATACCAGCAGCTCCTTACCCCCATCAAGGTCACTTAAACGTTGAGTGCTAACCCGGTCACCTACTGATACTTACGTTTAGTATCTTCCCCCTCAAGCTGCGATTCTGAATCTTTGAACTTTCAGTTTGCTCAAGAAGCCTATTTCTTCGAGGTCGAGGGAGACCACAAGGAGAAAATGAACGTGCTCAAACTACAGAGGTTCGCATCGATACCACGAGTAAAAGCTGCGGAGTTACTGACCATGGCTCAGGAAATTCCCGCAATTCGACCAGGCAGACATCTTCTCCCTCCAAGATGCGTTTCGGAAGCTGGATGTCGACGACAGGGGCTATCTCGACGAGGCCACTGTGATCAAGGCAACGCAACAAACGGAACGGAAGCCTTATGATGTCGTACGCCAAGCCTTGAAAGAGGTCGAGTTGGACAGTTCCCGCCGCGTCGAACTGGAGGACTACGTCGATGTTAGTATCCTGAAAAGCACTTTCGTCAATGATGCTAACGCAAATCGGCAGCTCATCTCCAAAGTTCGCTTTGCAACAGCGCAAAATCAGGCTGGTGGCCATGGTCCCGCAGCAGTCATACCAGGAAATGTCACTGGGCAGTCCCGCCACGTCTCTAAGGGGAGCATCGGTGGGAAAATCCATGTACAAGGCTCGTCTGCAAATGTGACACACACTATAAACGAAGATGAGAGGACCGAATTCACCAGGCATATCAATGCTGTTCTCGCAGGGGACCCAGACATCGGCCACTCTCTACCTTTTCCTACCGATACCTTTGAGATGTTCGATAAATGCAAGGACGGTTTAGTGCTAGCAAAGCTTATCAATGACAGCGTTCCAGACACGATCGATGAGCGTGTTCTTAACAAGCCTGGGAAGAGAACAAAGGAATTGAACGCTTTCCACATGACCGAGAATAACAACATCGTCATCAACTCCGCCAAGGGAATAGGGTGTTCAGTTGTCAACATAGGAAGCGGCGATATAATCGAAGTTCGTGAGCATCTTATTCTGGGCCTCATTTGGCAAATCATTCGCCGAGGTCTCCTCGGAAAGATTGACATAAAACTGCATCCGGAGCTTTACCGGCTGCTTGAAGAAGACGAAACATTGGAGCAGTTCCTTCGCCTTCCTCCGGAGCAGATATTGCTACGTTGGTTCAACTATCACTTGAAAAATGCAAAGTGGGATAGAAGGTATGATGCCTCACACCAGAACCCAGACTGCACAATCTCCGTCCACCTCGATGACTAGGCCGATCGAGGACTAATCTACTAATCCACGGAGATTTGGCAAAAATATTCAGCTAACATGACATAGAGTTACAAATTTCTCAACCGATGTGAAAGACGGGGAGAACTACACCATACTACTCAATCAATTGGCGCCTGAGATCTGCTCGAGGGATCCCCTTCGAGTTCAAGATTTGGTTCAACGTGCTGAACATGTTCTGACAAATGCGGAAAAGCTCGATTGTCGAAAGTTCCTGACCCCTACTTCGTTGGTTGCAGGGAATCCGAAGCTTAATCTTGCATTTGTGGCAAACTTGTTCAACACAATTCCTGGTCTTGACCCGATTACAGAAGAAGAGAAACTCGAGGTTGAGGACTTCGATGCTGAGGGCGAACGAGAGGCCAGAGTTTTCACTCTTTGGCTAAACTCCCTCGACGTACAGCCTTCTGTCAACTCACTGTTCGATGACCTACGCGATGGAACCATCCTGCTACAGGCGTATGATAAGGTAATTTCTGGCAGTGTGAACTGGAAACATGTCAACAAGCCTCCGACGTCTGGCGGAGAAATGATGCGGTTCAAGGCAGTCGAGAACACCAATTATGCAATCGAGCTTGGTAAACACATTGGTTTCTCCCTTGTCGGTGTGCAAGGAGCGGATATTACCGATGGCCAAAGGACTCTTACGTTGGGGCTGGTCTGGCAACTCATGCGAAAAGATATCACTATAACTCTCTCCGGCCTAGCACAACGGATGGGCAAACGCGAGATGACTGATGCAGAGATGATAAAATGGGCAAATGAGATGTCCCGAAGGGGAGGAAGAACTACGACAATTCGCAGTTTCAAGGATCCGTCTATTGGATCCGGTATCTTCTTACTTGATGTGCTTAATGGCATGAAGAGCAGTTACGTTGACTATGAGCTCGTGACGCCTGGCCGGAGCGAGGAGGAGGCCTATGCCAACGCTAAGTTGAGTATTAGCATAGCACGAAAGCTCGGGGCGACGATTTGGCTGGTCCCCGAAGATATTTGTCAAGTTCGATCTCGCCTAGTTACCACTTTCATTGGTAAGTTCATTGCAATTGATCTATACCGATGCATAGGGAAATTGACTATATACTGCAGGTTCGCTCATGGCTACATACGAGAAAATGCAATAGTTCGTTCGATCCAGGACTCTTACGCAAGGAGGGCTTCGTCTATGTTCTTAGATCTCGTGTTGCAAATCCCAAAGTCCCCGTTTTTAGTCATAGTGCTATCTAAATATAACCTTTAATCAAGGTCCTTACGTGTCCTAACATGTCTAGAAGATTCTTCCTAGCTGCCAGCAACCATTTTGAGGGCTCGCCTATGAGTTTGAAACTATGGTGGAAAGGATTATTTTCGAGTCGGCTTTCATGGTTCTGAGCACTCGGTGACATTATAATAGCCACTTATAGCTTCACATACAGACCCAAGAAAGAAGCAGCAGCGCGTTTTTGTAAATTTATGGATATTCTCATATGATTCCGAGGACAATCATCCAAAACCATGGATTGGTAAGACAAAGGGGATAAAAGGATTTGATACAACTAGCATCTATCTACGTCTTATTTGGCAAAAGCTAATATGATATTCTCAAGGACGCTTACCAGGGCTCCTCAAAATTTTCTGCAAAGTAGAATCAGATGTCTCGAGTACAAGCTACGGCTCCTACGGCAGACCGTTTCGGAAAAAAAAGGGTTGATCAGGAAATTCGGACGGACGAGTAGGACGAGGGAGGGATGAGGAAAGATCGAGTGATATTAATTTGCGAATCGAGGACGAAGAAACTGGCCGCCAGTTATCGTTAGGAGGGTTAAAGGACGACAAAAGCTGGCGTTAAATCAAGATAGGAAAGAGGCTCGCTCGACGTTCGTTCGGCAAAGTTTCGAGCTGCTGACCACGATAAATAACAAATTGACAAACCATCTAGACCGCGCCGTCCCTCTCCCAACCAGGAGTCTTTGCTTCATACCTACGATGAATAACATCGTTGAATGAAACAAGGCGGGACGGGTTGGTGAATGAAACGATCATAGGTATACCAATAAGCATGTAGCAGCTATGAGGGGGACAGGGGAAACACGGGGAACACCAAGGCACTACAAGCTCTAGGGCTTAAAAGATCAAGAAGCACTGGGCAGTTATAGGGGGGAGGTAAGAAAGTCAAAGCTGATTACCGGTAGAATTTCCGAGGGTGTTGAGGGTTTCGCATCTCCCATAGGCAAGGCATTATACCAGGACGGCCTGATATACGACTCTGGGTATCAGCGAGCCAAGCAGGAGAGCAACCTACTCCGCGGTGTCCAGTTCATCATGAGCAGAAGCCAAGGGGTCTAACGGGGCAACTTCAGAGGGATCAGTATCTTGTTAAGGTTGAATGTTAGACGGCTAACCTTTTCTTTCCTCGCCATTTGGTCCGTTTTCACGATCATCGTCGTTTCGTTCTCGCTCATCATCGCGGCGTTCCCGACCTTCTTTGACATCACGATCTCTCTCATCAGGGCTACGGGAGCGATCACGAGAACGCTCCCGTTCACGTTCACGTCTGTCATAATCACGGTCCCGACGGTCATAATCACGGTCCCGACGCTCGTAGTCACGATCATGGCGGTCATACTCCCGATCATACCTTTCATCCCTGCGTGGAGAGTAATCGCCACGGCTGCGTCGAGGCGAAGGAGAGCGGCCACGGCGGGGAGGAGTACGGTCACGCCGACGGTCGCGACCAGAGTCAAAACGCCAGGAGGCAGAAGGGGGAGTCCGAGCCCACTTTGACATGTTAATTGATGTTTTCATGGTGTGGGCAGCCGGATGACAAACCTCTATCTTCAGTAAATCATCGCGGCCAATTCGCTTATTGTGCATCTCATGATAGGCATCATCTGCATCACGGCGACTCTCATACTCCACGAAAGCAAACCTGCCGACGTAAGTCAAGGTGAAGAGTCTGGAATGGCTTGGTTACATACAGTCTGCTCGACGGAGTTCGCGGTGCTGGAATATCACAACGCACAAGTCGGCCATACCTACAAGAAACGTCAGGAACAATTAAAGCCCAAGTAGTCATTACAATGTAAATTTCACTCGGGAGAATGTTGAACAGGTAGATGGTGGTAGTATTGGGTTTGGCGGAGAATTCCGCTCACAGCACTACCACAAAGCAGCAATGAGAGAGAATCTCTCTGAAACGGGAAAAAGTGAACAGCTTCGCCTGCGATACTGCGAGACTCCGTCGAGTGTTTTCGCGTTTGAGGAGACGAGTTGTTGGATATAGTAGCGAGTAGGCAATCGACGAGCGGCACGTACCGTTCGAATTCGTAGGCAAGATCGCGAGCTCGAGTCCCGTGCCCGAAGCCGGTGACATATAAGGTAGTGCCAGGACGAGACATGCTATGAGCGTGGCTAGATCAGTTTTTGATAGGTAGGAATGGAGAGAGGTGTTGGCTGCTCGAAGGATAATTGAAGTAAGTGAGGTCAGTAAGGGAGCTTTGGGATGCTAGAGTCGATTTAGCACATGTTCTACGGGTGGTCAAACATACCACTAATGATGTACTTAGTAAGCGGGTGGACTAGTCAGGTTGCATATGAGCGGTGAACACAGTTTATCTGAACTATTTTTTAAGTATATATAGAATATTTCTGCGGCACATAATACCAAGCCCTTTATATAAGTAGAAATATTCCATATAGCTTTATAGATTACTTTTTTTATTATTAAAATCTCATTTTCTTTTATATTTCTTTACTTTATTGTATTTTATTTTTTAAGTATTTAATAAGTTGTTGACCGTGGTAAAGCCGACTGGGGCAAGAGATCTTATAATCAATCAAGCATGCTTGTTATTCTCTGTTTATACTATTATATAATATATTAAAAGTTGCCCGAGACAGTAGAAGAAAAGTAGTCTATAGTAGTAGACATTAAAACTATAATAATCTCTCCGGCTGCTAAGTAAGCAAATATATAAAATAAGATAAATAAGAAAAATAAAAAGAATATATAAAAAGATACTGTATACTAAAAAAACATAGATTAAATAAAAAATTAAATAAAATAAAATATATATATAAAGAAATATCGGATATATAGAATATATAAAATATATATATATATACTAAAGAAAATATAAATTAAAAGAAAAATCAAAGAGAATAAAATATATATATAAAAAATTATCGACTCTATAAAACACGTGAAGAATATATATATATATATCAAAAAATATAGATTAAATAAGAAATTAAGTAGAATAAAATATATATATATAAAAATATCGGATATATAAAAATTAACAATTAATTTTTTTTTAGTAAAGTAAGAGGTCTTTAAATAATAACTACTTTTTAATAAAAATACTAATAAAAAAATAATATTTTTAACTAAAAAATTATTTTTTAATAAATTATGTTGCATTCGACTCCTCGAGGAGTAATGCCCTCTCTCACCGCCTTCGGGCTGGCGATGTCATGTAGGCAGTCAAGCTAGTGAACCTTAGAAAAATCAATAATCAGTTATTCATTCATCGCTTTCTCGAAGGCTCGAAGCCAACATATTAAAAAAGACATAAGCTTTTTTATTTAATATTATTAATACTTTATACTTAATTTTATAATATTTTTAAGAGAGTCTGCGGAGGGGTTATAAATATAATTAATTAAAATAAATTTTTTTAAATTTATATTCATTTTATAGCAGTTTTTTATCTGCTTTAAAGATTTTATTAATATTAGTAGTAATATTAGTAGAAAAATTAGAAAGATTATAAACTATTTTATATATATTTTTCAGCAGAATTAGATTTAGCGACTTTTATATTAAATATTAGTTTTAAATTTATTTATATAATATAAAAGAATTTAAGTTAGGATTTATAAAATTAAGACTTATATTTGTAGATTTATAAGATTAAGACTTATATTTGTAGATTTTCCATTATTAAAAAACACACAAATTAAGTTAACTAAATTATTCAAATTTATTTATAAAAAATTAGATAAACTAAATTAATTTTAGAATTTAAATTGGTTGCTTTTTTTATATTAGTTAATTTTACTTTAATTATATCAATTTATTTTGCTTTTTTCATATCGGCTGGTTTTTTAGCAGTAATTCTAATTTTTATCTTTTTATTATAAAAGTTTTTCATTTTACTTATAGTATATTTTTAATTTTTTATAGTATAGACAGTAGCTTCTATTTTATATATAATAGCTTCTACTTATATTTTTTTATTTTTATCTATTATCTTAAATATATTATTAAAGCTTTAATTAAATTTTTTAGTTTTTCAAACATAAAAACTAAAATAAATATATTGTTTATTTAATTTTTTATAGTTATATAATTTTTCTATAATAAATAAAATTACTATTTATAATAAATAGTTATAAATTTTATAGATTTAAATAGCTGTATTAAATTTATCTTTTTAATTTAATTAAAAATATCTAATTTAGTAAATAATATATTTTTTTAATTTAGATATTTAAAACACCAGTTATATATATATTTACTAAAAATTTTTAAAGTTTGTTTTATATTATTATAGTATTATATGATAACTATAAATGTTTATTTTCTGATTTTTTATCTATATTAAATTTTAGACTTTTTATATAAATTCATTTAATAGATTAGTTAATACTAAATTTATTAATAATTTTAAAAAGTTTAAAGCCGACTTAATCTATTATATAAATATATTTAACTAATCTATTATATAAATATATTTAACTAATCTATTATAATATATTATATTATTTATAAAACATTTTATATTTATAATCCAGCCGACTTTAGATTTTAGTAAAATGAATAAATAAAATTTTTTAATATTTTTAATAATATTAGCTAGATATAGAGTGGCTAACGGCCAGGTCAGGTTAGGTTAATTAGAATTTTTATACCTAACCGCCAGATTATAGCTAGGTTAAAAAAATTTTTATACCTGACCGCGGTATAGCTAAAAAACAGATAATTAATTATCTTAACTATTTTTAGTATTAAGATTCTTCTACTATATCTATTTAGGCTTTAATATAGTTAAGATATACCTAGATTAAGTAGTTATTAATCTAACTATCTTAACTATTATTTAAAAATATATAGAAATAAGCTTTTTAAATTAAAAAATAA